GAGGGGTGGGGGAGGGGGGGAGAGCGGGGAAGGCGGGGTGTCTTGAATATGACACAACGCCGACGGTTCCGTCAGCGAATGTAAATGGACGCGATGACGGTCCTCGCGATTGTTTGAGATTTGCCACAATCTGCCAGCTTGCTCGACAAGAGACGCAGGGACGGGTTTCGTATGCGTGCGCGCGCGCACGCATGGGACCAACGCGCAGCTTCCACCGACAAAACAAACACTACGCTCGATCGCGGCAATATGGCTGCGACGATTCCTCACTTTCTTTCTCTCTCTCTCTCTCTTTCTCACTCTCTCCTTCTCGCCTCCAGCTGGCCGACTCACCAGTCACCGCCGCTTGCTCCCTCTCTTTTTTACTTCTTCTTTTAGTTGACATGAGGCTTGTTCTTTTTAATTAAACTTCTGCACGATTCATTTATCCTTTTTTTCGTTTTTATGTTGGAAAGAAAAAGAGAATAGAGAAACTGTAGGTCCGTTCGCGTTGTTTGAGATTCTCAAAAATTTGAGAACTTAAAATGAGACAGATTTATATATTTGGACATTGAAAAGAGAGAAAGCGAAGGTGTTGAGTGCAAAAAGTGCAATCAACGCGAACAGACCGTAAGCCTGTTCTTTTTGGCTGAACTTTTGCACTAGTTCATCTTTCCTCCTTTTCTCTCCAGCAAGAAAGAAGAGGAAGAAAGATGAACTGATGCAAAAGTTCAACCAAAAAGAACAGGCCTCATGTGTAAGTTCGGAATCAGATTACGCATTGAAGAATGAGATTAAAATTTGACCAATCAGAAAGGAGTCAAAAGTTCTTTGTCCTTATTGGTGAAATTTCAATCTTTAATCTTTAAGGCGTCGTCTACAATACACGGAGTACGAAGTAAGAGTAAGAAATTGACCAATCACAGTCGAATGTGAGAAGAATAATCAACTGTGATTGGTCAATTTCTTACTCTTACTTCTTACTCTGTGTATTGTAGACGGGCCTTTACGTCGAAGTTATAACATCGATGTCATGAAACTGACCAATCACAGTCATTCAATTCTTCAGAGGAACAGCTATGATTGGCCAGTTTCATAACATCGATGTTATAACTTCGGCGTAAAGCATGCCGTGTAAACGTAGTATATGTTGTAAATAAGGAGCGTTGAACAAAAAATTCAAAAAATTGACCAATCAAAAAATGATTCGAAATTTTGGCCAATCAAGTAGGCCATAGCCATAGTCAGAGTTGCTTCGTTCATAATTGGGCTGCGTTCCGTTTCACGCATGACGTGCGTGATGCATCTTTTATCCTTGTTATTCACCGAATGTTAAACAAGGATAAATGATGCATTATGCACATCATGCGTGAAACGGAACGCACCCTATGACAGCGTCCAAATTTGAGCGTTTATTCGTTGGATTCGCCATTTTGGCGAAAATTGATGGAGAGGGGATAAAACGCCAGCTTTTACTCGCTGCGTGAAATTGCACCTTGAGAAATGAATGAAAGATGTCACTATTATCGAATTTGGAATTTAAAAAAGTCTGTTCTATCGACCTTGATTAAGTTCGACCGTCACTCTAGCATCCTCTTAAAGCTTAAAACACCTATTGTAGATCCGGGGTTAGGTCCAATAGGGTTTTAAGCCTTAAACCATAAGAAATGGGCAAATCACAGTCGCTTATTCTTCTCGGATTCGACTGTAATTGGTCAATTTCTTACGGCTTAAGGCTTAAAACACCTATTGTAGATCCGGGGTAGGGGCTTCGCACAATAAAAGGAACAGAGAACAGAGAATACGAATTTTAACCAATCAGAAACTGTGTATTCTACAATACATGATTTCTGATAGGTTGAAATTCTTATTCTCTGTTACTCTGTTCTCTGTTCCTTTTATTGTGCGGAGCCCCTTAAGCTGGCGTCTCATGAGCGTAAATTTACAGAAGAACGGAACAGCGTGGCCAATCACAACTTTACAGTTATTACTCCGTTTTCTTTTCTGCGATTCTGATTAGTCACACTGTTCCGTTCAGCTGTAAATTTCTGCTGTAAATCTCCATTATGGGACACCAGCCTCACCGACTGCTGTAATATTCAATTATCTTATTAAATTCCAATATCTTTACCTTTTTTCTTGAATTTGACGGGTTCAAGAGGGCAAAACGGCTAGGCATGCTTACTGAGCGATTAAATATGATTGGTTGGATCTATAAGTAACAACCAATTATGTTCATTTAGCGAGCAGGCTAGCCGTTTTGTCAACTTGAACGCGCCCAATGAGAACCGCGCTTTTTTCCTAAGATAGTCCTTGCCATTGGCTGCGTTCAGCGGACTCAACAGTTGAGTGAGCTCTCGCTGGTATTGGTGTATTCTTTTAAATCATCCAATCAGTATTTTAGATCTAGAAGACTACACCAATACGCAACGAGCATTCACTCAACTGTTGAATCCAATGAATGCGTCCAATGATTGACACACTCATTGAAGCCGTGAATATGTATACATACACATATATGCTGTATACATAATACGTATATGCGTGCGGTTAGTATGCTCGCGCTTGCGTTGTTACAGGTGATTACTCGGTCGAATTCGTCGAATACGGACTCATACGGAGCCCAACGGAGCCGTATGGAACGGCAAAGGTCACTCTACGCTCGTCTACATCGATAATGTCGATGTTTCCAAGTCTTATGGTCGAGCATTAATCTTTTACAATTTACGTAGACGTGTCTGATCACTTTGATCGCGTGCGAGTCGCAGTGAAGAGCGGCACGTCACATTTTCGGGATCTCGAGTCACCTCAAGCAACCCCGAGTCAACCTCGAGATATCTTTGGTTGGAGGGGGAATTGACGTGCGTGCGTGCGTGCGTATACGTATATGCGTGCGTGCGAACTCTTTCACCTACATAGTGCTATCTCATACGTGCTTGTGTATACATCACCGTCGTCATACCCTCATCGCGTCGCGTCATTTGGCGGCGGACGCGCGGTAGGGGAAGGAAGATTGTAGGTTATGAAAAAATCGTGCAAACACTGTACAAGCGTGAGTAACATATCGACGGTGTGTCTGCCGAAGACGAATCGTAATCGTGCGACGAGTCTCGGGGACGACAGTCTTTTGAACCTCGACATGAAGGAGCAGGATATACCCGAGTACCTAGAGGGCTGCGGATTATCGGCTTGTACGGCCAGCAACGAGATATCCGAGGACGTGGAGCTTCAACTGATGCATGACAAAAAGTTCTCCACCATGTCGTCCTTCGGAAGTAGCAGTAGTAGCAGTCTGGTCGACTCCAAGAAGATCGTTATGATCAAACATCCGGACTCGAACAAACTGAAACCCGCTGGTAAGAAGACCAAGCCAATCCAGGCGGAGTTGGACGTGGGTAAGGAGTTCATCCGATGTAGGGAAGACTGCGTGAAGCGGTTGGACCTGAGCAAGGCTTGTATCACGACTTTGCCTAGTTCCGTGAAGGAACTGAAGCACCTGCGGGAATTCTACCTCTATGGCAACAAGCTGACGACTCTGCCACCCGAGATCGGCTATCTGTCAAATCTGGAGACGCTCGCACTGAGCGAGAACTCGCTCACCAATTTGCCCAACACTCTGGAGAACCTCAAGTCGCTGCGGGTACTAGATCTCAGACATAACAAGCTCATCGTGATTCCAGACGTAGTGTACAAGCTCACATCGCTCACCACGTTGTTCCTGCGCTTTAACCGTGTCAAGTACGTCAAAAACAATATATGTAATCTGACGAATCTCACCATGCTGAGCTTTCGGGAGAACAAGATCAAGGAACTGCCTGCAGGGATAGGCGAGCTGGTCAATCTTCTCACCTTTGATGTCTCGCATAATCATTTGGAGCATCTACCTCCGGAAATTGGCAAGTGTGTGCAATTGTCCACCCTGGATGTGCAACACAACGAACTGCTCGACTTGCCGGATACGATCGGGAATCTGGTGTCGTTGACGAGACTAGGAATCCGATACAATAAACTGACAAGTATTCCTAAATCATTGGCGAACTGCAAGTTGATGGATGAATTCAGTGTAGAGGGCAATCAAATATCGCATCTTCCAGATGGACTGCTGGCTAGTCTGTCATATCTTACGACAATCACGCTGTCTAGAAACTTATTTACCTCGTATCCTGCAGGTGGTCCAGGTCAATTCGTCAATGCTTATTCCATCAATGTAGAGCACAATGAGATTGACAAGATACCCTACGGCATCTTCTCAAGATCCAAGAACCTCACAAAACTGAACATGAAGGAAAATAAATTGAACACTTTGCCACTGGATATCGGTTCGTGGGTGGCCATGGTCGAGCTAAACCTTGGAACGAATCAGTTGACAAAGCTCCCAGATGACATACAGTGCCTGCAAAGTCTGGAGATACTGATTCTCTCTAACAATGGACTGAAACATATTCCGACCACTATAGTGAATCTTCAAAAGCTGCGGGTGCTGGACCTGGAGGAGAATTACATTGACGTGTTGCCGAACGAGATTGGCTTGATGACCGAGTTGCAAAAGCTGATCTTACAGTCGAATAAGCTTACCGAGTTGCCACGCACAATCGGTCATCTGAGGAATCTTACGTATCTCAGCGTGGGCGAAAATCAACTAACTTATTTGCCGGAGGAGGTTGGCACCTTGGAGAGCTTAGAGTCACTCTACCTCAACGACAACAAGTCCTTGCACAATCTGCCATTTGAACTGGCGTTGTGCAAGAATCTCGGTATTATGTCAATTGAAAGTTGTCCGCTGTCGCATATACCAATGGAAATTGTAGCCGGTGGACCATCACTGGTGATTCAATTTCTTAAGATGCAGGGTCCTTATCGACCAACATAATTGTTTTATTATTTTATTTTATCGCTGTTTTTTTTTATATACGGTTATATAGATGTCGATTCTTAATTATGAGGGATA